ATGTTGTGCTAAAAGGGGACCCAAGCATAAAAGACGTGCTCCAATGAAGATATATCAAGTTGGCGCACCAATGGAGAGAGTAGCCATTGACATTGCTGGTCCTTTGCTCCAAACTCGTGCAGGAAGCAGGTACATTTGTGTGGTGATGGATTATTTCACCAAGTGGACTGAGGCATATGCAATACCAAATCAGGTAGCTACAACAAATAGCTTCGGCTATTAGTGATTTCTTCTTCAGATTTGGTATGTCATACGAACTGCATTCGGATCAAGGCCGTAACTTTGAATCAGCTGTGTTCCAAGAATGTTGCAAGTTGTTTGGCATACGAAAGACCAGGACAACGCCACTTCACCCACAGTCTGATGGGATGGTAGAAAAGTACAATTGGACACTTTGACAGGAATTGGCTAGGTTTTGTAATACCCGCCAAAATGCCTACAGGACAGCAGAGCATGAAGCCACTAGATACACTACAGCAAAGCTGATGTTTTGTCGGGAACTTCGGTTGCCAGTGGAACTGATAACAGGATGCCCACCTTACGAGGAGTTGCCTGAGAATGTGTCAGAGTTCGTGAAAGTGTTATCTGAAAGGATGGATGATATTCACCATCAAGTGAATTCAAACTTGAAAACGTCTACTGATTCCATGAATCTGTGTTATGATAAGAGATTTGCTGAAGTCAACTTTGTACCAGGAGACAAGTCGTGGTTGTATAATCCTAGGAAGACCAAAGGTAAGTCTCCTAAATTGTCTTCTCCATGGGAAGGCCCATATGACATAGTGGATCGTCTCTCAGACATGACTTTCCGTATTACATTTGTTGGTGAGGAAAGCCAAAAATGGTGCATGCCAACAGGCTTTGGCATTATAACGGTCCAGGACATTTCAGTTGAAACAAAGTGAACAATGGAACAAATGACGCTGCTGAAGACGTGTCACTTGAAAAAGCCACTGTCGAAGAAGAAACTCTACCCGGTTTTGAGAAGGGAAACTGTGAATCCCTTAATGAAGTTACTACCATTGATGTGACTGTTACTGATAATAGGACATTTCCTGATGGAGCAGATGAACCCCACGTGAAGAAGCCAACGAGACGGAGACCAGTATGGAAGAAGATACGTCACGTAAAATGAAGAGACTTTGTTGAACTTTAATTTTGTGTTTGTAAATTCTGTACATTTAATTAAGTTATTGTTAATTATCTATTGTTCGGGACGAACAATACTTAGGAAGGGGTAGTGTTACGACAGCGAAAGTCACGCGACCCTGGAAGTATGCCCGCTGGAGTTTCTAGAAGGATCGTGACTTTTCCTGACAACTCTAGTCTGTTCCAGGCGCCCTCTTTTTTTGGTATATAAGCCCGGGAAATAAAGCGGAGAAATAATTGCAGATAGATAGATATGGAGACAGATAATCGAGTCAAGCAAGCGGTAGTGACGATAATATAAAGTGTGTGTTTTGTTATCGAGATTGCATACGTATTGACTGTGGAAATTCTGTGTATTACAAAGTTGTATTGGGAAAGAATAAACTAGTTTTAATTAAGAAAATACTTGTATCGCTGAAGTTTCTCGGAAAGAATTTCTACGGGAAATTAACAAACTGTCGTAACAATATGTTTGGTTTTAATATAAATAAAACTTTAGTATCAAATAAATTATTTATTTTGTGCCTTACTATACTTTATAGCAGGGTGGTGCTCTCACGTGCACCGATTACCTTACTGGTAAGAATAGTAACCACAGATAACAGGAAGAATACCAGAAAGTATATATATCACACTTGAACTGAATTTATTATTCATAGTGTAAAAACAAATGCAGTTGGAGAGGGCTTTAAACCAGATTAAAATTGGTACCAATCTCAAATCAATCTGCTCTAGAACAGCTACATAAAAACAACGCCAACATCTCTCCAAGAATGCATGCATCACTTACGTCAACAATCACTCCTCAATGAAAATTAGGTGGATATATTCCCCAAGTGACACTAAACCGACTGCATTACTCTATAATCAACAGTCAGAGAATTCATGTTGCACAAAAAAAATGTGACCACTAACCTAAAGCACCGATGACAGATATACCCCTTAACGTTTATCACTTGTAAAACCTGTACACCTACTTAAACACATCTTTGTGCAAAATGTTTTAAGTGAACAGGAAATGTTCACCTCTTAAAACTAAAAGCAACACTTAGAATGGTTTACATTTCATAACAGCAAGGTCTGAACATGGCATAAGAAGAAGGGTGAGAGTTTATTTTCTTGGGACCGTTCTAATATTGAAATCAGTTTGATTCAACGAGACTTTGCATCATTTGTTTGTTTTATAGCAAAGCAACATTGGGTTATCTGTTGCGTCCACCAAGAGAAATTAGTTTTAGCGTTGCAAGTCCATAGGCTTGCCACTGTCCCACTTGAAGAGACTACATCAAGACACAGAAGTGGTCTCTTTTATCTATTTATTCCAGAAGTTGTTGAACTAAATTTTAATATGTGCAGATATCTTTGATTTCTCAGTTTTCTTTCATCACATTGTTTATTTAAAATTTCTTGTCTTTTCTGCTGGAAGTTTATGCCATTTTCTTTAGAAAGTATTGTATCACTAATTTGAATTTCACTTTGAACTTTCACATATGTCTCAACTCGAGGTCACTCTCCTCAATAATGAAGTTGTGTGGGCCCGAATACCATCACCTTCCGAATATTTTGTTGAGAACACTTTTTAGTTTAATCTTTATCTATGCAGTCAGGTGACTACAGTTATTTGACTACATCATGCTTTTAGTAACTTTTTATGAACCTGTATAATGTGTATACTGGTTATTATTTGAAATCTTCTTAATACTTCTGTGGCTTTCTAATACACAGCAAACAAATGAATTTGTATTTTGTTTGTTTGTTTGGAATTAAGCATAAAGCTACACAATGGGCTATCTGTGCTCTCTCCACCACGGGTATCAAAACCCGGTTTCTAGCGTTGTAAGTCCGCAGACATACCGCCGTGCCACTGGGGGGGCCTGTATTTTGTATATGCAATACAGTACTTGTTATAGTGTGAAATTGTTGAATAATATTTTAAAGCATTTTTATTCACTGTCAGACAATTTTAATTAATTCACAATTGGCCTCTCCAACGTTTTGTATGCTACTATATACCAAACTTTGCACTGCGTTTTATTTTTTTTTATTGCAGTTGTAGACTTTCCTGTAAAGTACACTTTTGAAGTGTTCTAATGCCTAGGGAATAAGGTAGAATTACATAAGAGTCCACAACACGGTGGAAAGTTCTGCTGGATTGATAGTCTGCTTAACATTGTTTTAGATTTTCTTCTTTTGTTCATTTTAGTCTGAAATTTCAAATGTTTGAAAACAGAATAATGCGGAACTGGCAATAAATGTGTTCAAAATAAAGATGTACACACAACAGTGATGATCAAAGTTCTTGAAACAACTACAAAGTAAGTAACTTTTGGTCAGAAATAACTTGCACTTATTAGCTAGGGTGTAATGTTGTTAGATAAAATCAGCTCTAGATTCCCTGGACTTTCTCTTAAAAAAAAAACTGAAGTCTTTTGAAAGTATGTTAAGTCATGAATGAATTAACTTTTTGAAAATAATTCTACAGGATAGAATATCACTATATATATTGCTTAATAAAACATACAAACACAGATTGGATAATATTTAGCTTAATGAAAAAACAAAACAAAAAGAACTTAGTTAAACAAGGTTTAATATTGCCAGTAAAATGTTAAGAAACATTCAAAATATCTAATAGTAAGTTTTTTCATAACCCTTTACTTGTTCATTTGTCTTGTAGACAATGTAACATTCCTTGGTAAATCAAGGTAAATACCTATTAGTATATAACAAGTTAATACACATGCTAATTGAGCAACGTGACAAAGGATGAAACTGGACGTACAAGACTAATATTGATCAGTGATTTGTTCAATTTTGAAAAATGTTGACAACATAGTTTTCTGAGAACTGACTAATCTCAAGTGATACTTTTAGTTACATAGTGTTATCTACCTCTACATTAAGTTCTAACAATGCAAATTGAGGTAGATATTAAATGACTGTTCATTCTCAACCTTGACGTTGTTCTTCCATAATTACCATTCATATTTAATAAATTCTTATTTTGCCATTTTAATATTCTTTATCATACACAACTTTCACGTTTTTTTTTATCTGCCAGCTGTCATAATCTGAAAACAAACTATCTACTATTTTACCAAACAAATTGTTATTCTTCCTTTCTAATCAGAAGTTTTTGTCACACAAAACTTCTGATTGTAAATATAAATCCTCAAAATTTGCACAGATAAATTAAATTTCAAAATTAACTTACTTAACACTCCTAACCTTAATATTATTATTTTATGCTTTAAAAAAATTCATCACTTTAAATAGTAGTATCTACTCAAACTGAAGTTACAATCATTGATCTTAAAACTTCTGATATTATTTTTCACTTGAAAATACACTTCTAAAGTGTTTGGACTTACAAAACTACACAGAAAACAGAGCCTGTTGACCTATCAGATTAGAAAGTTGAAGTTTCACTTAATAACTGTTTTAAAAATGCATTAATCATTCTGCAACATACAATTTTGCAATGTGACAATGAACATATTTTCTCTTACCCTTTACCAAATTACATCATAATTTATAACACAGGGTCCACTTAAAAGAATTCCACACTACATTTTTACATTCAAGACATTTCAATGAAATACATACATTCCAAGAATTTAACAAGGGTCCACTTTATAGAATTTCACACTACTTTTTTTACATTCAAAACGGTTCAATGAAATACATACATTCCAATAATTTAACAAGGGTCCACTTATAGAATTTCACACTATTTTTTTTACATTCAAAACGTTTCGATGAAATACATACATTCCAAGAATTTAACAAGGGTCCACTTTATAGAATTTCACACTATTTTTTTACATTCAAAACGTTTCGATGAAATACATACATTCCAAGAATTTAACATTGTTAATTTGTAGTTTTTGATTTCTATGCGAGTTTATCAAAGTACAAAAGCAGTTGTTTTCAAGAATGCTGCAGCAGGATTAGCATGTATTATTACAAAAAGAACTGTTAAAACATCAGAAAACTCTAACAAAAAGAACAGTTAAAATATCAAAATATCTGCATTTATTTGGTACTTACGAGTGGTGATGGTTTAGACTTAAATGTCTACACCAAATACTATGTAGATAGGACAAGTTAAGCTTCATACTAGCTATTACTTAACTAAAGTTGAGTTCATCTTTATTAAAACTTGCTGTTACTTTCTTGCAGCTCTTTTTGCTTCATTCATTTGTACTCTAAATCTGTTAACATACTTTAATCTTACTGCCTCAGTAAAATAAACATATCTTTGTTTAGGTAGTTTTAAGTAAAAACATTGTTTACTTTCCTACATCTAGGAATTAACATTCTTGATAAACAAAAATTGAAAAAATTCACAAACACAAAAGATGAAAACATTTACATACACAAAAAAGAAAAAATGAAAGATACTTCGGTAATAATTTCACATATTCTGTTAAAATTCAGGCTTTGGTAACAATGTTGTTTTCTGAAATACAATTAACAAATAAATATAATACCTTCAGAAAAAAATCCTGTGACATACCAGTCATTGTTTAAAATAATCTTTTTCCTATCATCTCTAGCAAAAATATCATCAAATAATCAGACCAAATCTAAATATGAAGGAAAAAACAAACAAAATATAAGTGTTTTTTTTCCAAAAATGCTGTTCTTAAAACTTTTGAATAGACAAAACAAAAAGACCCAGTAACACCAAAATGTCTGTGAAAAATCACTTCCCACAGTCAAAAGAGAGAGAGAGTCATTCATGGACATTATGCCTTTCAAAGATCCGGGTTATATTCCAACTAAACAACAAAATATAGTATTAGTAAAAAAAAATCATTAAAAACCCAAAATCTTTTGAAAAGCCCTACATAACAAAAATAAACATAGAAAAAAAATGACATGTTTTCTGATCAACAACAATAAAGATGTTTCTTCTATCTTACTTCATATAAATGTAAAAGCATTGCACTAAGTTATATAAGAAACATCTTTTTTTTTATGCAAACTTCCCAAAGCAAAAATAAAGATTTTCAGTAAAAATGAAAAACAAAAAAAATAGTTTGTCCACACATGTGATCCTTTCAGCATAAAGAGAATTGTTAGCAAGTGCAAAATCACTTTAGTAATGGTAAAATATAAACACCTAATGTAAAAATTTACTCAATGAGACAATGCATTTACCATAAGGTAAATTAAAATTAAATGAACAATCTCTTGTATAAAGTAACAGTTTCACTTTTTTCTCCCGTAAATCTTTTTCATAAACCCATGAAAGATGGCAGCTGGAAGCTCAGTAGAATCAGTTAATTCATTTATGAGGGATGTCAGCTCCTGGTAACTTTTCTCTTCATAACTATGATAAAGTTCTGAAAGTCCTAATTCCTTGTAGATACCCTTTACTTTCTGGATACAGGCTGGGTCCGACAGAGCATAATTTTTCTAAAATTAAAAACAAACATTGTCAAGAGGATGCAAGTGTTTAGAAAGAATCAAAAGTTTCAAAAAAATCTTAGTGTTCAGAAAGTTGATTGCCACGAGAACCTTGCAGTTATAAATAAAAACAAAAACTTACTGCTTACATAAAAAAGGAGGAGTTTTAAGAAATATAATATTCAAGGGGGAAAGAAATTTTGTTAATATTTAAAACAATGAACTGAGATGAAGGATGTTTTCAATGAATATGAAATTAATGTCAACAAGCCAATATCCATGAAGTGTACTTGTGAAGCAACTGACACAAAATTTATTAAAAATGTAAGTTATATTTTACAATAAATTTGCTGTACACCACTCACTCTAAATATTACAATCTGAATCATTAAAAAGAGTAATGTGCATGAGAAGCTTTTTAAACTTCATTAAATTATGCAAAAATGAAACTAGGAGAAGGAAGACATCACCATAAGCATTAAGGGAGGTTTGTTTGTTTGTAGTTAAGCACAAAGCAACACAATGGGCTATCTGTGCTCTGCCCGCCACGAGTATCGAAAGCCGGATTCTAGCGTTGTAAGTCCGCAGACATACTGCTGTGCCACTGAGGGGCACACAAGTGAGGAGTGGGTTTAGATAATACTAAGCATTGGTAAGGGAAAGGTATTTGAGGAATGGATCTGTCATCATTCAGAGCTCCAAGACAGCAATGTTCATGTTAAGGTTTTGTGTGTGTGAATTTCTTCATTTGTTTCTAGGCACTTAGAGTACCAGTACTGCCACCTTGTTGAGTTTTAATACTTGCTCACAATTTCTAAAGTGTCACCAGATCTGGTGTCTGTTACTAGATAAGTCAATCAGTTTGTCATTTTTGATCAGACCAATGGACTCAAAGTGTCTTTTGCACTAGAAGTGTTTGTGGGTATCACATGTTGTGGAATAGGTTTAATCCACTCAGGTTTAACCTCACAATCATTCAGATGATCCACAAAGGCCATCAGATTCATTCAGAACTCTACACACCTAACATCTTACATGAGTAGTCTACATAGGTCACTTAAATGTTTTAATTACTTCAAATGCACAGCACTCCCTTTACATTTTATAAACTTTATACATACAAATACAAAGTACCACAACCAAAATGATGTTTTGTGAGTAAAGAAAGAGTTTTTATCTTTGCAACATATTGAAATATTAACCCTACCGAGACGGGTCTGTTGGGTCTTCCTATGGTCACAGGTCAAAGGCCATTTCATCAGATTTGTAGACTTGCACTCAAAATTTTATTGAACTGTTATTTTATGAATGTATATCACCCACCCATATTAGAAGGGTTAAACTCTTTAAGCAAATCATGCAATCAGAAGAGTAAGGACAAACTTTTTTTTTTACCAAGGCACTTCAAAGAAAATATTGTTAAACAATTCAACTCCATAAAAAACAAAATGCATGCACAGGAGTGGTAGAAACTTTAAGAAAGAACTTAAACTGTGCACCAAGCTAAAGATGGACAAATACTCACCTGAAGAATCTGGCATTGTTCACTTGTAGCATGAGCTAGAGCCGATACAATCAGCCAACTGCACTTTCCATCTTCGATATCAGTTCCTTGTTTACCAATAACAGCTGGATCACCATAACAGTCTAAGTAGTCATCCTAGACACCCCAACAAACTCAGTTATTATTAGAGCACAAAACTTTCAGAAAATTAGTTATATAGAGCTCATCATAAGGTGTTAAATGATCTCTCTGAAACTACCAATAATACTCCCAACAGTCCCCTCTGAATAATAAACACATTTAATACCAAAACATATCCCTTTAAAAATGATAATGTCATCATTTCAGGCTAAATAGTAAGCTATAGATACTATGTATTAATAAACACATATACTAGTATCAATTTAACATCCAGTCTGCGAGTCAGAAATATCAAACTTAGGGGATAGCGAGAGATCAATTTCATGTGATAGGGTGGACTAGAAAGGAATGTCACAGTTTCTGGTATTTCAGTTTGAGCCAAAATAATTCGAATTTTGATTGTGGTTGGTCAAGAAGATGTTCATGTTCAGGAAGGTACAGTACTTAGGTACCTTAAGGTGGTAATTAAGCTTTGCTGATCCTCCCGTGGATATCTCTATCAACAGACTGACAAAAACAGTTGAGGAAACAGATATTGTATTGTTCAACATACAACAGCTATTACTGTGCTTTGTGTGGGATGTTTGATCAGGGTTTTTGATATAGGTTTTACTTCTACATTCCTGGAAACCAGTGCAAATTTGGCCAAGCTGGTGGATAATTCAAATTACAAGTATGGTAAAGACATCATATCAATATTCAGAAATTAAGAAAAGAAGAGAGTATCAGAGAGCCTTGCTTGTGAATCAATTTACTTAATGTCTCCATGACTTGCATACAGGATGTTAAATAATTATAATATACACAATTATCATAACACAATGTTCCTCTAAACACATGAAGATCATAATAATATAAACTTATCCTTGAACAGCTCCTTTTAACAGGTATCACCATTATTTAATTATTACAATTCAACAGCCACCATTAAGCAATCCCAGCAAACACATATATAATCATAAAACAATAACTATAAACACATTGGTAAATATAACAGTAAACAAGCTCAGTAAACTTAGGGAAAAAGTTGTTTCAATTAAGCTAGAACTATAAACTGTTACGGAGTCAAAAATAATTTACACTACAATAATCACCATTGGAAACTTACCTGGACTTGAAAAAAATGTCCCATCTTCAACAAGATAATTTCAGCTTGTTTGTGGAAGTGAGGGTCTATCCAACCAGCCTGAAAAATCATCTCAACCTCTACATTTGGGGGTCTATCATTAAGTGATTAATCTTAGCAAATGTTAACATACTTCTTCGGTTACAAGACAATTTTTACATTTGAACTATTAATTAGCTTTATAGAAAAAAAGAGAAATCCTGGTGGAGTGGCAAAAGATTCTTATAGGAAACAATTGAGAACATCATTCGTTATACTCACATCTAGAAAGGAAACAAAAGTATCTACACTTGTACTACATTATAAATCTACACATACATCTAAGAAACTGGATGCTTCTCATGCATTTGTTATCAAAACTGAAACCATTGGATGTTGTGTGCAGCAAGCAAAATTATTATTTGAAAAACAAAATTCATGGAATACAAAGAGACAAGGAACTGTGTTTTAAAACTATAGAAAATTATAAAAGAAAACTCTTTGTAAAATACATACCTCAATGCTTTTAGTGGAAATGTATGTCAGATTCTAAGAAATTCAATATCCTTAATGTTTTTAAAGCAGAATAACATTTCATTTGTCACTAGCCTTGAGATTAAATACAAAGAACACAGCAGACCAATTTCAACTTACCCTGAGTTTGCTAGAATCTCAAAAGATCTGAGAAAAGCTTCATCAGGTGGGCAAAATAAAAATTATAGATAAGAGAGAAAAAAAAACGTTTGTCACTGCAAAGAATGGAAAAACACTCACTAGACATTTACTATTTATATCTTTTGCATAAATTAGTATAATTAAACCACAAATTGTTTTACCCACCAAATGCATTGCAAGTTGCACTGGCAGACAGAAAGAGTAAAATGCTGTCTTGTACTTCACAATAGAATTATATCGATCTTGAGTGAAGCAAGAGAAATCTGGCCGAGTTCCAGGGGGCGTTGATAACATGTCCAGACACTGACCTTGAGCTGTTTTCTTAGAAGTCTACAGAAAATACAGAATTAAAGTTATTTTTAGTTGTTTTGATAATCATAAGAAATCCACAGTATTGCCTTACAAGATTTAGCTTGAATTAAACATTAACTTTTCACAGAACTATTAACAGAAAACATTTTACTTTGGTTTATATTCTATCATTTTAATAATATGAATATATCACATGGCTAACTTAGTGTTGATATATTTTAAATGTAACAAAAAATTTGTTTTTTAAACTGCTTATATGCATAATGCTAATTTTTAAATTTTATTTTAGTTATCCACGTTTCTTAGAAATTGTCAGTATGTAAGACCCACCTCCAGGAAAAGTTCCAGGATATTAAGATAACATGAGTGGTTTCTCAAGAATCTCTTCAGCAAGTAGTAAACACCACTCTCTAACAAAATAGCATCATTAAAACCAACCAGTCCAACTTCTTCCTAGTGCAAGGAGAGAGAGATACTTCCATTACCTTTCTACTATCAGAAAACAAAATACTATGAAGCCTATTAAAAATATCTGCCCTTACTTAAAGCATTGTAAAAGATAGTTTCATATTATATTACTATAAAATAATTTGTTTCCTGTCATTTTAATGTTTAAAATAATGCAGAACAGATACAATGCACAATCATGAAAATACATCCAATATAAAGAATTCTCCTGATCTTCATCTCCAGTTTGAAATTTGTATTTGAAACTGTCAACATATATTTAATAGTCTAACATAAGACAAAGTGTCAGTAAAGTTGGTATATAAAAACTAGTGGCAAATCTTAAGGCCTATAGTTACTTTTTAGAAAATCCAATTTAATCTGTTTTTACAAAATCAAGCATAAAAATTTTTGGTTTGTTTTGAATTTTGCACAAAGCTCCATGAGGGCTATCTGCAGTAGTCGTCCCTAATTTGGCAGTGAAAGACTAGAGGGAAGGCAGCTAGCCATCACCATCCACCGCCAACTCTTCAGCAACTCTTTTACCAATGAATAATGGAATTTACTGTCACATTAGAATGCACCCATGGTTGAAAGGGTGAGCATGTTTGGTGGGACGGGGATTCAAACCCACAACCCTCAGACTGCAAGTCAAGCACCCTATCCACCTGGCCATGACGAGCCTAAAAATTTATGTGCCCATTATAGAAATATTTACACCATTCATAACATCTGGATGTAGCACAGCTTTACCTGTTCAGTCTTATTTAGAAGCTGTATTTCTATTTAGAATTTTGATTTTTGTTAAAAACAATCAAGAGCTATCAAAGGTCACTATTCTTGTGCATGCAACATTAAAAAATCCTTCAACTGGTCCAAAAGCTCACTTACCACTATCACAAATAAACATACAATGCCAAGCACTCTCCACTTGGTCACTGCTTTAGCATGCACTAAAACATTATTGGTTATGCTTCAAACAGTGACTAACACTGTACACAGAAACCAAAGCATTCTTCAGTTGATCACTGCTCTGGTGTACATAAAAACATTATTGGTCGTGTTTGAAAGAGTGACTAACACTGTACACAGAAGTTATAATTTTCCTATACTGAAAATGTATTTCCAATAGGTACTTACCTCCTTTCACAGATATAACTATTCTCATTTAGTGCTGCCCTATATATACAAACATTTTGTTGCATATCACAAGCCTTGAACTCCCACATCCAATGTGGTTCAACTACTTCTCAAGTGTAAATCATCATGCCACAATCCTCCACCAATAGTAGTACAACATACCCTCCTGACACATTTGACTCCCTCTATTTGATTCTACCAAACTATCATTTTGAGTTTTGGCAGAAATAGAAGCACTGGTTTTCAGTGGGGACGAAGGTTGGAAAGTGAGAGGGAAGGTAACTACCTATTAGAAATACATTTTCAGTACAGAAAAATTATAACTTCCAATACGGTACCTTACCTACTCACAGATATAGCTAGAATTTCACATTGAAAAGGTGGAGGGACCAGTGTAAGGGAAACAAAGAAGCACCCATTGAAAGCATTAGAAGAGCATCCAAAAAGTGGAGATCCTCACAGTAAAGGATCCTACATGGGAGACCACACCACATCAGTACCAGGTATACTCTACTCCCCGTGTGGAAAGAGGTATTGCAAACATGGGCGGAAAAAGAAACGGGGCACATCCAGAGTGGAGAGAACAATGTTTGGATAGGGATCTGAGCCACATGATATTGGAATCTCAATCCCTTTGGAGACAGGAATGTGAGTGAGAGTAAAAGGATGTACCCCAAGGTGTAGAGTGGTTATGGTGCAATGGACAGTACACAGCAAGTCAAATGCATACAGAACCCAGCCACCAGGAACCAACATCAATGTGGAGGTAGGATGAGGATCATCATAGTAGCGGCAGGTCCACTGCAATGCAAGACCCAGTCACCATGAATTGACATCCATGAGGAGATAGGAAAGAGGATCATACTGCTGACAAGTCAACTGCAATCCAAAACCCAGCCATCGGGTGGAGATAGGAAAAAGAATCCTACCATCTTCACTTTTAGTTCAGCAGACTGGAGGGAAATATCATGCCCCCAATCTGTGAACAGACACATGAGAGTAAATTGATAATAACTTACTGATCCGGGAACCCAACATCTGAATGATGAGAATAATCAAGGTGACCCCATATATTGTGGGACATCCAACTCAAAACCAATCAGACAGGAACCACCTCCAACACAGTATCATCCTCAGTATACGTAAATCTTCGAGGGGTAGCATAAGAAGAAGAACCGTAGCAACCTTCATGTTCATCCACTGTGACTCACAACACATTATATAAATAATTATGGAAATGAAATAGTCTTTATATTGTAAAATTAAGTACATGTGTATTAACAATAAAAAATATATTTGATGGTCTTTGGTGTATATAACAATATATTTAATTTATGATTTACCAGTAAAATGAATGACAGTACAAAGGATATCACTAAGCTCTAATTGAAAACCCTAACTTTACAATACACATTCACAAATCTAACTAAACGTATGTTATTGAACCCAAATAACAACAAATAATAATAATATCAATATTCAGTTACATATTCAGAAATAAATAACAGTATAACAGCTTATCTGTCCAAAGTCATCAGACCATATTCAAAATGTCAGATAGTAGAAGACAAGGAGCAGGAGAAGGGGGTGAAGGATCCCAAGGACACGAAACTTGTTGGAATACCTAGACCGAGCAAATGAGAAACCATATTGAGCAGACATGACTGCTGATGAGCTGACTCAGCTTGAGTTTCCAATGTAAAGAAAATTCCAAAAAACTTTATCACAAAGAAAGAGTGTCACATGGAGGTCCCCCAGATAAGAATGAAGTAGGCAAACTCCAGAAGGTAAGACATCCTGATCAGTTGACTGGAACACTATGGAAAAAAGAAATCAAAGCCAAGATGGAGAACAATTAGGTGCAGTTGTTCAAAATGTAGCTGATGAGCTTTTGAAAAAAGGTAAAACATGCTAAAAATGCATAATCTAAAGCACTATTCAAAAATAAATTAATGTACTGCTCATAAACATAATCCCAACCAACTTCTAACAGTTATTGTTATTGTATACTTGGCACACAATACCAAGCACTTTGTAACTTCCTCATGACTATGCTAAGCCCCCTCCATACAGTCACTACTCTATTGCATATAACAGTCTCAAATCTTTCCAATCAGTAACCACTCTCATGTAGATAACATATTCTTGGCTACATAACACATATCACAATGTCAGACACTCTTCAGTCAGTCTGTTTAAATAATGTGACACATGGCCCTGTAATGACAAATATTTTCTGGAAAAAGTATTTTGTGCATATTAGCAATAACAAAATGGCATTTTTTAAATATTAAAGCATAATGTGGAAAGTTTACTGCACATTGAAGCCAAGATCCATCTTTAAGATAGGAATTAAATTAACCCTTTTGCCCCAGGTATCCTTTACTATACATGATAGAAAGTTTTAGTGTCTTATATTCAAAATGTTATTAAATTACTTTTTGTTTATATTATACCAATTACTATAGCATAAAATCGTAGCTAGTAATCCATATTTTAATAGTATATAAGTTTTAAGTTCCTAATTCTACAAG